AAGGTGGAATAACTCTTTTTGTTTTTGTCAGTTTCACTATAGCTCTGGTGAATTTCAATGGTGAAGTCCTCTGGAAATCTTCAATAATTGTTGTTGATTGCAGATGTGTCTAGTAGTTCCCATTGATTTAGCTTGGAAAGCGGGGAGAATGGCGCTAGGCTTACCGCACCGTGACGTCACTGCTGGAAGATGGCAGGAGGGAGGGGCTACTATACTTGGAGAAAAATGGCCGTTCTGTCAGATGAACATATCCCATCAGACCAGCATACCCATAGTCAATATGCATGGGCTTTAGTTTTGTACAAAAAATAGACTTCAAACTTCCTCGACAGGCGTTTATCCCTTTAGTCATGTACAAAAAAAAAAAAAATTAAGGTCAGATCGCCACACGTTTAAAAAAAACACCAAAAAGTAAGTAATTAAATTGATTTTCTACATGACTAATGGGATACTGACCCTTTGAGGTAGTCTAAAACTTATTTTTCATACAAAATTTGAGGGATAAACTGAAGGGATAAAGAGGTATTAACTATGGGTATGCTGGTCTGACGGGGTATCACGACGTGATCATGATGATAATTATTGTTTTATTTTTTTAACTAATTTGATTAAATCACAGCAAAAGTATTAGTTTTTGATATAGATAATGATCTATTGATCATTGCTTGCTGACCGGACTTTTCCTTTAATCAGAGAGGACGCTTATGATGCAGGTATTGCCGTATGAGATGGCGTGTAAATGCTGCAGCGGAGCAGAAGCCACAGATGCCTTAAAGAATGCCAGATATTTCTGCACACATGTTAATGGAAAGTTATCTGTGCTGGAAGATAGAGAGCTGGTCATGAAACCTGGAAGGTCAAAGAGATGGTGGGGAAAAAAAGCATTTATTTTATTGTGTACTGTTGCCGTCTGAGCGGCTGCTCTGCTCTGATTGGCTCCTGTCGACTGTTTGGTCATTGCTGACTTCTCTTAGACGTCAGTGAATCAGTTGTTTCAAGCTGTGTAGATAAACACTACAGTGTGATTCACTGCTGCAAAGGACTATATAATTATAGAGCACATCATTATGATGTTTGTTTTTTCAGGCATTGATATGTCAGTTGTTGTTTTTTTCCAAAATATGTTCAAATTGAACGGAAAACTGCTTTAATATTTTTCCCTCATCTGAGTTTCATCCCGCTTGTTTTGGTGGAAAAGGTGGAATGTTTGCCTTCCCGCCGTTTGACATAAAACTGAGGGATTTTTCCGTCTGATTGGTCTGCAGACTTGAAAATCTGCAAAAGCTTTTTAATACTTTTTATTGAAATCCCTCCATAGTGATCAGAAGAAGTAATCCTGCTAATCTGATTATTTGTATCAGCGGATGAGCAGTACGTGATTAAGATGCCAACATTGGGTACAGGATACCAGATTAACTGAGAAGTTTACATTCATACATCATCAGCACAGATTTAGTTAGAAATTAGTGATTTATGGCGTTTAAGGAGACATTTATGTCTTGTTTGTTTAGGCTATATATATATATATATATATATATAGCCATGAATTTATTAATGTAAAACAAGAAATTCTTATTTATTATAAGTTACCCAAACAGGGTGTAGAGCTTACCTGGAGGCTGAGGCCCCTAACATAATGCTTCTGCTGCCATGCTTGGCAGTTGGTACGTTGTGTTTTCAATCCTTTAAAAGTTCTTGTCATATTAAAGAAGGTTTTTTTTTTTTAAATGATTGGCATCCTCTTAATGCACCAATGTTCCAGCTTCTTATAGTTTATATTCAGCTCAGTGCTGCTTAGAAGCCAGGTTTTAGGAAGCAAACAGAGTGAATTAATTGCAAATATTCCTCTCCCTTAATAAGTTACTAAATTATCCCAGCCGTTCGTTTATACAATTCTATTCAGTTTATTTCTATAGCACCAAATCACATCATGTCATCTCAGGTCACTTTCCAGTTCACCAGATCATCCA